CCGCCCCCACCGAGGCTGATCTCGGTGATGGCGGTGATGCTGGGGCTGCTCTCAGGTTGACCCAGAAGGGGGTCCAGCGACAGGGGGGTGGTGCATTAGATTTGGTGCACCAGATTTGTGGGGCTGCATTACATCGGGGGCGTGCAATGCATTCCAGGGCGCAAGTGTATTGCTGGAATTTCGGGTGCAATACATAAGTTGCAACACAGTGCAATACAATTCTCCGGCGCAGTGCATTCGCAAGACGATTGCCCCGAATCCATTGCACCACCCCCTTGCAGCTGGACCCCTTTTGGGTCACCCAAATTCTCGGGCGGCCGAGAGATTATCACCAGCACCAAAATCCAGGATCACCCTCGGCTGTGGTGGCAACGCCCTGCGCTGCTGGTGCCAATTTCCAGGCCCCAAGCCCTCAACGCCTGCCCGTCTCCGCCCCGCCTGCCAGTCAGGGCCCACTTCGGTCCGATCGATCCGCTTCGACGTCGATCTGGGCCAGTTCGATCCGATTCGATTCCGATTCCCCGACCCGACACGGTCCGATGCTTGCACGGCGCTGTTGTGCATCCTGGCGCGGCCCATCCGCTACGATCTCGATCCCCGCGCCGGCGCAGGCCCCATCCGTGGCACCCTTCGCCTCGGGGCCGCCTCGCCGGCTCGATGCCAGCTGATCTTGGCCGGCCTGCGCCGCCGAGGGCGTCCCGCATCTCGGGGGGGCAGAAGCAGCGCGTGGCCATCGCCCGCGCCATCATCCGCGCCCCCAAGGCGCCCCGCGGCGCCCCGCGCCTCCGGGAGCCACTCGCCCCTCTCGCCTCGGCCCTCTGGCCGCCTCCTCTTGCGAGCAGTGGCGAAGGGCCCTGGCTTGCTTCTAGGCGTAGGTCGGGCACGTCCCTCTACAGGAGGAAAATTCAAAAACAGACAAACATATTTCGGAGACGATTGTTTGATTAATTGTTGGCCATTTTTGAGCATGATTGGACTAATGATGCATTTGTCTTCCAAAATCAGCCTGTAGGGGGACATGCCCGACCTAATTTTAGGCCCACCCAATAGTGTCCTTTAAGAACCTGTTCGTGGTTCTGCACAACATTTTCTGATAACATTTCTGGCTGGGGCTGTCTTGCTTTACACATCGGGTCTACGTTCTAAGAACATCGTTTCTGTTATCAGAACCTTTTTGGGTTCTAAGAGCCAGTTTCCTTATAGGCCCCGGCAAGCATACTTGCATGGACAGGGGGGGACTGAACCCGACGCAAGCCGCAAACGACTCCCGCGCGCGGAGATCACGCAAGTCGAAACGCCGCACCTGCACGCGCCGGTGTTCGTTCGAAGAGTGGCGAGGGGGGGGGGTGGTGTGGGGGGGGGCGAACGCCATGCGAGTACTCTTGCCCGGACCTCAACAAAAGCAGGCTCCAAGAGCATGTCGTGGTAGGCCTACTAGACTGCCAGGGCGGTCGGGGTGGGGTGGGATGGGGTGGGGTGGGGTGGGGGTGGGGGTGGGGGTGGGGGGTGGGGGGTGGGGGGGGGGGGGGGGCGAACGCCATGCGAGTACACTTGCCCGGAAGCCAACAGAAGCAGGCTCCGAGAGCATGCCGTGGTGGGCCTCCCAGGACTGCCGGGGCGGTCGGCCGCCGCGCGCGGACTCCTCGGGCCCCAGCCGGCGGCCGCCGCCCGATGGGGGGCGTCCACCCGGGGGGGCTGCCAGGGGGGAGGCCCCTTCCCTGACCTTCCAGGAGGGCCAAAAAATAGCACCCGACCTTAAAACCTATCCTAGAGCTATTCTACGTCTTGGTTTTAGGCAGTTTCGCTCAGCGTTTTAGGGTTTTAGGTCTCCAGTGCTAAAAAATAGCTCTCTGGAAGGTCAGGGTTGGGCGGCCCCTGGAGCGGTCCCACAGCGGGGAGGCCGAACGGTGCACGAAAAGCAACGGGTGCAGTGGGGGCCCATGCCGAGGAGCACCCTGCTCGCCTCCAGGGTGCCCCGGGTTTCTCGGGTTTTTCGATGGTGCTGCTCTGGGAGGCGCGGCGCTCCCGCACCGGAAAGTATCGAGGGGCGCCCTGGGGTCTCGGGGTGGGGTTGCTCGTGGAAGGTTTCTTGCGGTTGGGCCCCTACGTACTGCACACAGTCCAACAGTCGCTCCCGTTCATTCCGATCGGGGGTGGACAGAACCCCCAACAGTGACACGTCGATTAGTGAATTGTCCGTTTTCGGTTCTCGAGAGGGCGCCGCGGCCGTTATTTTCCAGGCTTGCGCCGCCAGGTTTGGGCCTTAGGTCGTTTTCACTAGACCACGTTTTACTAAAGGGAGATCTGTCCATCCCCGATCCGAGCAGGATTCGCTGTCGGCTTCGCTGCGTTCGTTGTCCACTTGCGGCACGATCTCGTCTGCCGAGCAGCGGCCGCTGCCGGTTTGGGACAGCACTGGGGGTTGGACACCGTATCCTTCAGTCGCGCCTGTCCCCCTACAGGGGAATTTTCAACGAAAAATGCAAAATACCCCAAACATGCCCAAAAAGGGTCAAAAATAGTAAAACAAATGTCCCCAGACAATTGTTGTATTATTGTTTGGCTATGTGGGGGTATTTTTTTAATGTTTCGTCGATCCCCCTGTAGGGGGACAGGCCCGACTTAACCGTACCTCATTTTGCCGTACCCGCTCCGGGCGTCCAGGATACAGGCAGGGCCCAGGCAGGGGACGCCCGCCGCTCCGGAGTGGTCCGAGAGCTGGAGGACGCCTCGGGCGACAGGGACTTCATCATCAATAAACAGACGTGCAGTTTCTGTCGTCGTCGGCGTCGGCGTCGGCGTCGCGTCATCGTCGGCGATCGGGGGCCGATGCTCTCGGTGTCCTGAGGCGGTTGGGTGATTGGGGGGGCGTTATGGTGGGCTCGGCGGGGGCCTCCTCCTCCTCCTTTTCCTCCTCCTTCTCCTCCTCCTCCTCCTCCTCCTCCTCCTCCTCCACCCTCCTCCATCCTCCTCCTCCATCCTCCTCCTCCTCCTCCTCCTCCTCCC